AAATAAAACTACTAAAAGTGTGACAAATCAATAACTAAATGCGTCAGAGACATTTTTACACTTAAGATCGCACAAGGGAGCCGGTATCAAAGTTGGACGATTTTTAGGGGAAACTTGTCCTAGCCCCCATATAACTAATCACAGAATTTTCAAACGTCCGGTTAATTTTACTCCATATACTGGTGTATAATATTTGCATCAATTTCCACCAAATAAAAAGAGAAGTCGTCTGGATCTTACACACGTCTGTCACGGAATAGGCCGCTTCTTTATTCAATTCCTTCTTAAATATACATTTTGATGAACGGGATATAGCATCACGCCATATGATACATATTTACATATACATAAGGATAGTTCCCATTTACATTCCCTACGCTAGAGTGAAGTGACTAGTCTAAGAATTCAATGCTAAAGGGAAGACACAATTATGCTGATCATTCAGCATTCAGCAATCAGCTGACTGGCATTGGTTTGTGTCCTTGCTAATTGTGTACAGGACTGCATTCTAATGTACTTAAATCTTGAACATCCTGCCCGGCTGAACCCTCGCGGTCAGTAATTTCTGCGGGACCTGTTAGGCGGCATAATTTTGCACCGGTCGCTGACACGCTGTTTAATAGGAATTCCATCCGATGATCCTTGGTTTGCATTGTACTCTATCGTACGGTACGTACCAGGCCATCACTGCCCGGGTGAACGTCAATAACGCGTCCCATACGCCAAACCGATGGTGGTAGATTTTCACCACGTATAAGAACGATGTCACCACGCTGCACATTGGGTTCCGCTCTAGTCCATTTATTCGAGTTTGGAGAGTTTGTAGGTATTCGATTGCCAGCGACGCCAAAAGTGCTCCAGCATTTCTGGAGTCGTTGCCAATATCGAAGACGATTTTCTGGAGCTTCAGGTATGGGGATCTGGGCGGCAATTAAGTGGACGCCCATCAGGAAGTCCCCGGAGTTAGAGCTATCCCACCTTCTGGATCATCATAGAGCTATCAGTGGTCTCGAATTCAGACACGCTTCAATGCGAGTCAAGAGTGGACAACTCAGGTAACGCAGCGTCTGGCTGCCCATGACCGCAGTAGATGCTTTTTAGCCGAACGAACTGCCGCCTCCTATAGACCTCCATGATGAGGTGCGGAGGGGTTATGAACTTTCAACAGGTACCTTCAGCTGCCAAATGTTGTTGAGCATGTCGCTACCACAATTTCTAAGTCCTCCTGCATTTGACGATTCGCGCCTACGAATTGTGTTCCATTATCACTGTATAAAGTGGTGCATATACCTCTCGACTAATGAAGCGATCGTAAACATCTATAAATGCCTGTGTACTCAAGTCCTCTGCCAGCTCAATATGTACCGCTCGTGAAGCATACAAACAAATATGGCAGCGTATGTTTTGTAGTCGGGGTAGCACGATGCATTCCACACGGACATGAAATGGTCCGCAGTAATCCAATCCGCTACGAGAAAATGGTGGTGCCACTAATACTCGTTCTTTGAAGCGAAGCCATTTGCTGGCGTTGTAGAATTTGAAGATGCCTACGACATGTAGTGCATGTCCAGATGAAAGACTTTACTTGAGCTCGGCCCCTATAAGCCAGAAACGTTGTCTAAGAAACTGCAGCATTTGTTGTATACCACCATGTAGGCAACGTGATGCGCATCAGAGACTAGCAAGTAAGCCAGGCCCACGTGGAATTAATTGGATGTCGATGAGCTCATCTAAGTCGGTGTTGGTGAGTCGACCACCTACTCTCAGTATGCCGTCAGTATCCAAGAATGGATTGAGTGCTATGATTTGACTACGACCCACAATCCTGGAATGCAATGCAAGCGATTTAGTTTCGTGTTTAAAATGATTACCTTGTGCTTGTCGAACGTGCAGAAGTAACGCCCATCGCTGTTCTTCGAAAGAAACTACATCGTTCCGTAACCACGATATTTCGGTAACCATCCGCCTTAACCAAACAGTGGTGTTGAGTAAACGACTCAATTTGCTAAATTTCTCTACAGAGGTATCCGCTTGTCTCTCGTGATATCATAATCCACTGGTAATCAGCTCTAGAAACGAAGATGGAGACCGGACGAGATTCAGCTATGGAGAGTTGCTCTTCCTCTTCCGTCAAAACGGGTAGGCTCATTGTACAGCCCACACCTCGATGTATGCACGTCGGTCCCGTCCACCAAAGGTGATGCTCTGCAAGAAGCAGGAGATAGATCCCTGCTTGCACAATCGGCTGGATTCGATTCCGAGCGAATGTGTTCCAAGCATTAATGTCTGAGTTGCTTGATGTAAGCTACACGATTCGATACGTATTGCTTGAACGTGGATGGCGTTTTGCGAATCCAGCATAATACAATAGTAGAATCGCTCCAATACGTACATGGGGCGTCCTGTAAATCTAGAGCCTTACGTACGTTATCCAGCGTCTTGTTAGAAGATGAGCACACATAGTTCGAGGCGCGGTATAGTCACATCCTTAATTGGTGCTATCTTCGACTTCGCTGAAACAAGAACGGTGCGTGACGTTCCGTTGTTATCGATGGTTTGAACATATACGACTGCAAATGCACTAATGAGCCCACTCGTATTCCCAGCCAACGAGGAATACGAAGACGTGAAATATCTTGTAAGCTATTCCGAAATATCAACCATGTATTGAGCAGCTCTGCTGGGAGTTCGGCATCCCATGGTAGACCAGCTTTCCATAAGTCCTGTATGAATAGTTTGGCCAACACGACTACAGGTGCTAATACGCCAGTTGGATCGTATAATTTCGCCACGTCACTCAAAACCCTTCGTTTAGTATGCATGGAGGTGTCGTCAATCATGCTTACCTTGAAGAAGAGTTCGTCACTCACTGGATCCCAGTAAAGACCCAATACCTTTGTCGTTGAGTTGTCTAACTCCAGTTCCGATGCGGAAACTATTGTACCGGTTTATGTAGATAATACATGTAGAGTTGAATTCCACTTTCCCAATATTAATTGTCCTTGTTTCAAAACCGTTGCTACGTCTTGAGCTCGGGTAACGGCAAGTTCGTCGCTGTCGACGCTTTCCAAATAGTCATCAACGTAGAAATTATAAAGTATGCTATGACGCGCTGCGGCAGCCCGGCTTGGGTTATAGATGACCTTATAATTGTCATTCGCACATTGACGCAGTGCGCGTATTGCGTTGAATGGGCTACAAGCCATTCCATAAGTTACCGTCTTCAATTCATATACTTGAAGAGGTTCATCTGGTGATTCACGCCAAAGTATTTGTTGCCATTTACGATGTCGTGTGTCATCAATATTTGTCGGAACATTTTCTAACGCGTGCAGTAATTGCTACGTTGAATTTGCGAAAACGGTTAAGAATGTCGACAATATTTGCGTGTAACTGAGGTCCAGAAAACTGTGTATCGTTTAAGGATGTCCCATTAGAAGTCTTCGCGGAAGCGTTGAAAACCACGCGAAATTTTGTGGTTACAGCATGATGAGGTATAAAGTAACCAGTTTCTTTGCCAATGAAGGTTCTCTGCTAACCTCCATATGATCGAGAGCAAATATTCTCGCATAAATGTGATGTACTGCTCACGAAGACATGGGTCGTTCATCAGACGCCGCTCGAGTTGTGAACGGCGAACTGCCGATTGATGAGATTCGCCAAGTGCAGGAGATCTGGCCGAAATAAAATTTGCACTCGTATCTACCGTCTGAAGTGCGGGTGACTGTGTCGTTGAAGATCTTCTCGCAGTCATCAACTTGGACTTCGGATGTTAAGTGGTTCTTCGAGTTCCAGAAGCTCCTAAGTAACTTGTCCAGCCGTTGTTCGTTGACGCATTTCGCAGTAAGAGATGTGTGTGATGTGGTGTCAGCGGAACTTGTGACTGGTCCGAATACTACCCAGCCAAGACGGGTGTTTAAAGCGCAAGGTTGCTCTGGAGACCCCTGTATTAAACCCTCTTGGAAGATATCCATCAGTACGTCAGCACCAAGTAGTAAATCCACCTGACCCGGAGTGCCAAATGTTGGGTCGGCTAGTGGCAAATCCTTCAAATGGCTCCAGGCTTCTGCGTTTATTTTAGTATCTGGCGTTACTGAGGTTATTTATTGGCACGACAAAAGCCTCAAGTTTGAAGTTACTGCTGTTGTCAAAGGCAGCCTGCATCTGAACCGTTATATGGCCCTTACTATAGACTGCAGCGTTAGAACCAATGCCTTCAATTCGTATCTCTCCTGGATGCCTACGAAGACACATACGTTTTGTAGTAGAATCGGTAATAAGACTCACCTGAGAGCCCAGCTCGCATAAAGCGCGACATGCGAATTGTCTTCCGTTGTGGTCAATAATGATGACCTTCGCCGTCGCTAATAAAATGGTCCGGTCACCATTTACGAGAAATGACCGGACCTTCCTCAAATGTCACTGTTGTCGTCGATATACCTGTGGCACCTGTGTGGAAGGTGCTCCACTGGGTATATTCCGATCGGGAGTTTGACTGTTAATGTCTTCCACCATAGTCGGTGAATTGTTCGCAACGTTGTCTTTGCAAAGCATAGTATGATGGCGATGATGGCATCTAACACAATCACGCGATCCATGATCAGCCCCAAGACAATTGAAACATAATGAGAGCCGCTTAACTGTATTCCACCGTTCGGGTATTGAAAGATTGATGAACCGTTGGCATTCATATATTCGGTGCCCGTTAGAACAAAGTTGGCAAACAACCGTTCCAACTTTCCCGGAATGTAACGGCTCAGATAATTACCGGCCACATGAGCTTAACGGACGGGCTGGTCTCGATGCATAGTTGTTGTACCGTTCGTAGTTCCTTGAACCAAATTGTTGGCCCGCTCTCAATAAATAGTAAAAAGTCCTGAGCCATTGTATGTGTTTCGTCTGAAGACTCATCCCCCACTCATACCTAGTGGTGGTAGGCAATTTGGGCAGCAGAAGTGGTACCAATAGGGTCCCAATGACTACCGGAAAGCCCATAACACTTAGGCTCGCATCACATTTTGCACGGTGTCTACTAGTCGGAGCAAGCACTTCTGGGATTCGACGGGTTGGTTGGGCAAATCCAGGATACGCTGCACGTGAGATTCAACCAACAAACGTGGATTATCAAAACGCCGTTTCAATTCCTGCCACATGTCTTCGTAGCCGCCTGTATATAATCCGCCAACCAATGGTACGCTGTCTGCATTTACATGTTGGCGTAACTTACTCAACTTGTAACTAGAATCCAGATCTGTACGATTATGAACCAGTGCCTCAAACAAATCCTTAAAAGGCAGCCAATTCGCTGGATCACCATTGAACACAGGAATCTTAATTGGATCTAATCGCATGTCCAATTGATTCGTTACACGATTATCACCTGCACTTGCGCCACATATCCGGCGTAGTCGAATACATATTTGTGTGTACAGCAATTCTGTTGCAGCCAGGAATTCGTCATGCGTGGTCAATTCACTGGCTTGTGCTGAGGAAACCAAGTCAGTATGATACTCCATGAACCTCTCGAAATGTTTATCCAACTGTCCGCGAATCACATCGCACTCAATGCTGTCCGGATCGTAAGTAGCTGCTTCTGTCAGTTTTCCAATGCGCACAATCGCGGCTTGCGCTGAAGTACGTAGATTTAGGCTTGCCATACTTATCAATCTTACTTTGAATCAGGATCGAATAGTTCCTCACAGGAGGCACCAAAAAGATGTATAATATTTGCATAAATTTCCACCAAATAAAAAGAGAAGTCGTCTGGATCTTACACACGTCTGTCACGGAATAGGCCGCTTCTTTATTCAATTCCTTCTTAAATATACATTTTGATGAACGGGATATAGCATCACGCCATATGATACATATTTACATATACATAAGGATAGTTCCCATTTACATTCCCTACGCTAGAGTGAAGTGACTAGTCTAAGAATTCAATGCTAAAGGGAGGACACAATTATGCTGATCATTCAGCATTCAGCAATCAGCTGACTGGCATTGGTTTGTGTCCTTGCTAATTGTGTACAGGACTGCATTCTAATGTACTTAAATCTTGAACAACTGGTATGTTGGTGACGGTATGTGCGGTACTTTAATGAAACTCAGGGAGCATTACATCCTATTAATAGTATTTTGTATTGCCAGCGGGTAAATACTACCCCTATCTCTCATATACCTAACATAAGATTTTCAAACTTCCGGTTAATTTTACTCCATATACTCGTATGTTGGTGACGGTATGTGAGGTACTTTAATGAAACTCAGGGAGCATTACATCCTATTAATAGTATTTTGTATTGCCAGCGGGTAAATACTATCCCTATCTCTCATATACCTAACATAAGATTTTCAAACTTCCGGTTGGCTTTATGCCATATAAGTATATTAGTCAATAAGTAATATACGAGGTGTGTTCAAAGGAAAAGGGGAATTTTGATTTTTCACGGACTGTGTACATTCGATAATCGATATTTGAATTTGGTTATAATCGGATACATATGACAGCGAAGTTCTGCATCACGATATGCACCAGCTCACTTATCAATGCTAATGAGTGATTTTTAGGTCAAAACCAAAATCGTAATCATGCCTCAACCTCTATGATTTTTTTCTATTCCCAAAACTGAAGTACTTTTCAATTAAAAATTCCTATTTAAGGAAATTTTAACGTATAATATTGGATATACCATAGTTTAACGTATAATATTGGATACACGAACTACCCTAACTCCCAAATACTACATATATTGATTCTCATTATTCTAACAAATCTTATGCCGAACATGTCGTGCAATGTGTGAGTTATATATTTATAAAATGGATATATTGAATAAATGAAGAAGTTTTCATAAAAATTGTGTGGAAATATGAATGAAATTGGTGAATTTGGTCCAAACCTAATACCCCTAATATAATGAAATGCGATTCTTTGGTTGACTTTTTCACATCAACTCATTATATTAAATTAAGCTTCTTCAGTTTATTGTAGATTCCATAAGTCTCATTTTAAAATGATTCTAATACAATTTTAGCTGACGCGAAGCAAAATAAAGCAATAAAACTTAGTGAGTGTGTGGCCTATAATGTAACTAAATATAATACCAAATTTGATTGTTATCCATTCGACGAAATCAATAATGAATGGTGAATTGTTTCGCAACATTTTTTAATACCAAGTTTTCTTAATACCTGAAGGTATTTTCCCTGCTTAGATCCTTGCAAGAGTATAAAATGTTCGGCTATACCCGAACTTAGCCATTCCTTACTTGTTAGCTTAATGTGCTTTAAAAACATGTTTTCTAGTATTTTAAATCATACGTATTATTAAGCCACACATGGTGTTTTCACTATCTTTAGGCATGCGTTTTAGAAAATTTCTTTATCAAATATTTTAAGCTGAATAGTTTTAGAAGCATTTTTTTGCAGGATGGATTCATGCTTTTAGCAGCATACTTTTATAGTCTTTGTACGATTTCGCCCATTTTCACAGTGTGTGATAGAAATGGTTGGTAACCTCACATACCAAATTTTGTTGAAATTAGTTCGATAGTTCCTGATCTCATCTCAATAGAATTTCACCTAAAGGTTGGTGGTGCCACGTCCATTTTTAAATATTTACACCTCCTCCCATAAAACTCTTCCTTACCATCTTGTTTGTGTAATTTAATGCTATATATGGGGAGTGGGCGTGGTTATTATCTGATTTTACCCATTTTTACAGCGTATAAAAAACTGCTAAGAGGACTTCCTCTCAGCAAATTTGGTTGAGTTAGATTCAGCGGATTGGTATATATAGATATGTACATTAAACCATTTAAGGACGGAGCCACGACCGCTTTTAAACAAAGCCAGTAGGTGTCCCTTGTTATCGCGATCCCGTGTACCAAATTGTTCGGTATCTTATATTAGTGCTTAGTTATGGCACTTTATAATTTTTATTTTATTGACGATTTTTGGGCGTGGCTGTGGTCCGATTACGTCCATTGGCAATATCGACCTCTCTTGGGTACCAAGGATGCAAGTTTAATCAAGATATCTCAATTTAAGCCCAAGTTATCGCTCGCGCAGAAAAAAGTTACAAACATACAACCATGCAAACATACATACATACAATCACACAAACATATAAACATGCAGGTGAAGCTAATAAAAGCTTTATACAACTATTAACCGATGGCGTTTTAAAAGATTCTATTTAATATATGTATATACGTCAATTGACTTAATATATTACAAAATCACAAAAAAGGGTTTTAAATAGTTTCTGCATATGTTTAACGGATACATGTGTAATAATACTTAATCTGTTGGGTATTGTAATTTAAATTCCCAAAAATTAATATTGTGGCTACAATGGAAAATTTTATAAAAAACGCTAATTTTGAGGCGCTCTCACACTGGAAAGAGTTGGGCATACCATTATCCCTGCTACAGCCACCCGAGTTTCGTACTTACTAAACCTCCACTGTAAAGTTTAACAAGAGATGTGTAAACATGTATGTTATATTGTTATTATATTTGGACTCTCAAAACCTTTTTTGAATGCACACACATATGCGCATATTACATTATATTAGGTCAAGTAAAAAGTATCTAAGAGATGGCGTTATTGTACATAGTACTAGAGTTACGTGTCGCATCATGTCATACTATACGACGCTGAAAACGTGTTTACTCGCGCTAAAAGTTGGTCTTTGACAGTTTTTCGATTGATTGGCTCAGTACGTTGTGAGCGCTCGTCAAAGATGGACACCAGCAAAGAGAAAGTACGCTATTTTTTTTTTAATTTTCTTCGATCAAGGCGAAAAAGCAGCCAAAGCGGCTGAAAAAATTAATTTAGTTTATGGGCCCGAAACTGTAAACGAACGTGTAGCACAAAAATGGTTTCCTAGCATCCGTTTCGATGTCAAAGATGCACCACGCGTCGGGAGGCCTATCGTCGAAAATTTCGATAAAATCATGGAAATAGTGGAAACAGACCGTCACGTGAACACTTATTTAATTGCTGAGGAATTAAAGATAAGCCAGAAAACCGTTTGGAACCATTTGCATAACCTTGGATTCAAAAATCGATGTTTGGGTGCCACACGAACTAACGCAAAAAACATGATGGACCGTTTCTGAAGCGGATTGTGACTGGCGATGAAAAATGGGTCACTTACGACAACATGGAGCGCAAACGGTCGTGGTCAAAGCTCGGGGAAGCGGCCCAAAACCGGATTGACGGCCAGGAAGGTTTTGCTGTGTGTTTGGTGGGATTGGCAAGGAATCATCTACTACGAGCTGCTAAAAAAAATTGGCCAAACGCTCAATTCGGCCCTCTACTGTCAACAGCTGGACTGCTTGAAGGCAGCACTCATCCAGAAGAGGCCATCTTTCATCAACAGAGGCTGAATTGTGTTCCATCAGGACAACGCCAGGCCACCCACGT